CCTAATTAGTTTTGTAATATTTTACACAATACCCAAAAGCATTGACAGATCCCTTTCTGTAAATAGAAACGGATACATAAATGAACTCTTCCCTTTGAAATAAGAACAGCATATTCAAATTGAACAGAAGTGTTCCCATCTAGATGGCTGGCTGATTGAGAACTAAGGCTTCATTTGAAAGCGTAGATTTGCTGGTTACTCCTTGCTCAGGGCTACACAAGCAAACCTGCATCTGGAAAAGGCTTACTTCTGTCAACGTCAGCGCTCGAGAACCCACACATTTTTCGCAGGATAATTTTCACAGAATCCCAGACTGGTTTGGGTTGGAAGGGACCTTAAAGCCCCCCCAGCTCCAGCCCCCCTGCCCTGGGCAGGGCCCCCTTCCCCCAGCCCAGGGGGCTCCCAGCCCCGTCCAACCTGGCCTTGAACCCTTCCAGGGAGGGGGCAGCCACAGCTGCTCTGGGCACCCTGGGCCAGCGCCTCACCCCCCGCACAGGGAACAATTTCTGCCTTAGAGCTCACCTAAACCTTCCCTTTTGTGGTTTAAAAGGGAAGGTTCTCCTTCCCTAATTTTCCATTCAAAATAACAAGCAAACAAAACCTGCCTTTCCCAGTGGAAGTCTTGAAAGCAGCACGTATCTTCCAGTCAACTGGTTTTATAATCAATAGCTCTACAGCATAAAACGTGTAGCTCGCTAATCACATGCTTCGTAGGAGAGCAGACTTGGTGCTAACATGCTTTCAGGACATGTGTACACTTGCACATTCAATTTTAACGCTCAGTGCTAACGTAAGAAACAGTATTTCCAGCCTAGGTAAGTCTGTGTATTCACTACAGAACAGCCAGCAGCGTGGTTATGCTGCCACCAAGTGGGTTGCCATCCTACACATTGCTGAATTTTAAATATCTTCCAGGAGCGGTAAAGATAACTGTATTTCAGGGCTGCCCTAAAAATTTTTGAGTTTCTTAACACCATATTGACAAATGTCTGCATTCTCCAGCTGACAAACTTTGCATGTGTAGAGTAATGGGATAGATTTAACTATAAACACTCTCAGGATCTCTACCAACCTTCAGCTGCCATAACAACACAGGAAAAGTCTGTACACTCTTCATATACATGAACACGTCATATTTAAAATCCCAAATTATATCAGATGCCCGGAAGTCCTAGTGGTAGCAAAAAGGGTTTGGGGTCCTTTCAAAATGACGGTGATAACGGGGCCCTAAAAAGCCTAGCCCTTGTGATGACACAGAAAGATTTTTCAGCATCTACAAGTTGACCAAAAATCATTTAAAAATGCCCATGAGCTGATAGCGAAAAGTTAACTTATGGTCCAAAAGTTTAGTTCTAGTGAGCACGCTCTACCTCACAGAGTTTCTGGCTGCTTCGCAGCTTTTTTTTTCTGGCGTTCCACAGCAAAGTTTATCAAAGCTTCTGTCTTTATAGCCAGTTCCAACTGGGTGAAAAAATGCAGCTCACTGAGACATGTTCACTCTCTTCTTAGCCTGAAAATGCTGCTTAAATCACTGTCTCCATTCTTCAGAATAGTTTCATTGAAGAAATTAATTTTATGCTTTTTACAACATTTATTTCTCAGATAAGCTAAACTAAGTACCTTTTATGTTTTTAAAGGTAAAGAACCAAATCTGTGCCTCCATTCACAAAGCTACTTTCTATACAGAGAAGTGAAACATGAAGCATATTCGCTAGTGCTTTCCTACCACAGTGCTCTTACTAAAAAAAAAAAAAAAAAAAAAAAAAAAATCATTTAAAAGTGGCGATACGGACAATACTCCCCTCTAGGGGCAGAAACACAATTTGCAACGTTCAAGTCAGCAGTGTATCATTGGTAAACCACATTAGCGAAATAAAACAAATAGGGCCTACCAAATCAAAGACAACCAGGATTATTAAGCTGTTCCCTGCAGAGAACGCTGCTGCCTATGAAATCTGCCTGAAGAGCATGTTGTGTTCCTACGGTCATGCAGTGGGGTTTAATGCTACACGTATATAAAAGTCCATTTATCAGATTTCCCTAGCAACATACAGCCCAACGACTTCTGACCTGGACAACATACCACCCAACGCAATACGCAAAGAAAACATTTTTCTTTGTGAGTAAACACGTACATCCCGGAAACGCACGTACTGCCAAGCGCTAAAAGCTGGAAGTTTGCTCAGCTGATGAAATTGGGTGTGTTTGGAAGTCAGAGGAGACGGAAGGTCAGCGTCGGCCCGGCCGCGTCCCTCCTCTCCGTCCAGGCAGCCCGACGCGAGGCTGCAAAAGCAACTCGGGCATCTCTGTCGACGACAGAGGGGCCAATCCTCTCCGCGCGCATCGCCCCTACGTACAGGCTGGGAAGCTCGCGATTCCTCCTCGGAAACGAGGGGAAGGCAGAGCTAACGGAGGGTTGTCTCCCCCTCCCCAGACCCTGAGCACCCAGAGAGCCTGACGGGAGCTCCAGGAGTGGGGCGGGGGGGGGCCCCCAGCTAACACCCAGCACCTTCAACCAGTTGCCCCGGTGCCAGGAGGAGTGGGTCTCATCTCAAAAAGCCCAACGCTGCCTCTCTCCTCGGGGGGGGGTGGGGAGCTCTGTGAGGTCGTGCTGCTGAGCTGGGACCTCCGTCGGGGGGGTGCAAAGGCAGGTGTAGGGGCCGGCTGCATCTCACAGCCACCCCCGCCCGGGTTGGGGCGAGATCCTCGCGCCTCCCCCCCCGCCGAGCATCGCCCGTGCTGCTGCGACACCCAGGGCGAGAAACCTCCCTGAAGCAGCACGGCTTCCTGCTCCCGGCCCGGGTTCAAACAGGACAGCAGAGACACCACTCCGTTATTTTTCGAGTTACTGCTTGCAATAGTGGAAGGCAAGATATTTAAAAAGCTCTGCACTCCGTTTCTTATCACATACCCCGCGGTTAGTGGGAATTTATTTTCCACGCACACACGCGCACCCACACACAACGCTCTACCAAAAAAAAAAAAAAAAAAAAAAAAAATTATGTCGCATGTTTTTTAGGTTACAAAAGCATTCTGTGTCTTTCTGTAGCCTACAAAAACATCAATCCCAAAGAGCTTTCCCCTGGGAAAACCAGGGGGGGGAAAGGCATTGAGGGGGGATGACGAGAAAGGCTGTGTCAAACGCAAATTTTTCTCCAGCGGCGTGTGCTGAGCAGGGCACTGCCTTTTCCCCCATCTGCCTATAGCCTGTGGCACCTAGCGTGGCAACGCTCCGTCACGGTCACGGGAGAGGATTTAGTGGCGAGCTCACCCAGCTCCTGCCCTCCCAGGTCTCACGCCGCTACCCCGGGCGGCTCCGCTCCCTGCCTCACGAATCGGTGCTTCGCTGCGTCTCTTTAACACTGCGGATGGTAAACGTTTTGCTCCAGGCTGACTGCGAGCCTGATCTGGACTTTACTTGTACAAGCGGTTTACACAGACAATCGGGAATTGAATTGCCCCGGCACCAGCCTCCGGAGTGGCACCCGTGTAGCCCCAGCAGCAGTGAGACTGGTTTTAAGGCCGGCATTACAAATATTTTTGTGAAAATAAGTTTCTCCGATCGTTATTCTGACTTTTCTGCATTTAAGCACGTATGTGTATCCTCATATTGTTTCAGTTTATTATTGCAGAGATCAGTAACGTGGGGCCAGTAAGAACAGTGATACGCATCGTAGAAGAGAAAATGAGTTGTTTTTTTCCTTCTTTGAAGCATGACCTCTATCACATCTAACTCTTCTTTGCACTAGTGCAGTTACAACTGTGATGGCCTAAAGCTGTTAAGGACTTATATAAGGGTACCTTTCCTTTCTCGCTTCCTTTCAGAATAAGGGGTTTAAGGCTAGGGCCAAAATACATAAATAAAGGAAACAGGCTGAAAAACAAAACCTGGGAAGCTCCAGGTGCCTGTGTACAAAAGCGCAACCCCCCCCTGAGCCCCAAGTCGTGACCCCCGGGTCGCGGGAGCGATCGCGGGGCTCGCCCTCCCCGGGCGGGTGGCTGTGGGCTCTGCCCCACGGCGCGGGACGGGGCGCCGGCAGGGGCTCGGCTCCCCCCCCCCCCCCCCCCTTTCCCTCCGCTGGGGGCTGCCTGCCGAAAAGCCGGGCGTCTCGGCACCCAACTCGGGGCACCCAAGCACTTTGGCTGGGCCTCAGGCGCCGCGCCGGGCTCGGGTGCTCAGCAGGGGCTCCCCCTCATCTCTTTTTTTCAAGCGCTGCCTGCGTGACTACGGTCTTGGAGAAAACCCTGCTGGAGATAGACAGCAGCCTTAATTACTACAGGCTAATCACCTTTAATGAGCAAACCGCCATTCACTGATACGGGATTTGGCCTGAGAAGAATTTCAGACAATTCTCTCAGATCACTGATATTCTATCTTCTATCTAGGTTGCAATGATGCAGCTTGCCAGTATCCTCTAATCAGATGAGGCGCACGACCCTGAAGGTCTGCGATGCCGCGTTGCTTCGCTGCCAATACAATGTGCCAGCTTTGTTTTCAGGAACGTACTCGCTAAAGCAGCTTCACGGTGCTGCTAGCTGGTTTCATTTATCCCTGTGATCATTTGCCTTTTAGAACTATTAACGAAATCGAAAAAAAATAATAACAAAAGCTCCAAGGGCTCAAGAATGTACTGCCCCAGAACAAGATCTCAGTTTCTGGCCTGGGAGAAAATTCTGCAATCGGCACTGCAGCTGCAAATACAAACAGTAAGGGAGAACAGATCTTCACAAAAAAGCTGGACTGAATCATCAGATCTGTTGAGAACACGCCTTTCATTTAATCAAAGGAAATATTTAAGCACTAGCAGTATTCAGAAGCTACAAATTAATTGGCACTTGTAGGCAGCGATTATGTTTTCCGTTTTTCTTGATATTCACGTAAATATGAGTGAAAGACTGGTCGCCTGGCTCTACTAGGAGTGGGGGAAGTAACGCTCCCCACCCGTATTGGCAGAAGTAGTTGGGAATCAGCAGCAGAAGAAATCAATCCCGGTTCTTACCTCATGGTATACAGCAGAGTGCCGTCATCCTCCAGGCGCAGAAGCTTGTTTGGGGTTGTCATGTTGTGGGCAATAGACTTCTTGCCGTTATGGAAAAAAGTGTCCGGGGTCCAAATCTTGCTGGCAAGCAGGTTGTTAAGAGGGAGGCGTTGCATAGGTCCTTTGAATCGCAGCCTTTCGTCCTTCCAGCTTTGCCGGAAAAAAACGTCGATGGTGTATTCCTGGCACAAAGAAACAGTTGAGGTATTGCAGGATCTGAATAGAAGCGATGGTTCCAAAAATTACTTTAGCAAAGGAAATGCAATGGAGTTGGCAGCCACGCGCTCAAACTTACCATTTCTGTGTCTGACACGGGACCAAAACTGGTAACATAGATGTCTGTTTTCACCTGAGTTATTCTCTCTGTAATAAATATAGGCTCTGCATTAGTAATCGCTCTAAGATGCAGATACGTGCTTGTGATGCATTTCTCTATTAACAATTTCTGAATCACTCAAAAATCCCCCCAGATATATTTGAAGAGGAATTTCATCCCTGATCAAATGCAGTTGCTGCCCTTTGGGAGCCCAGGCTCTCTTCTGATAGTCAGTGGAAAGAAAAAGGCCCTCCAAGGCCACAAGTCTTCTGACCAACAGGTTTTGATCACAGAATCCCAGACTGGTTTGGGCTGGAAGGGGCCTTAAAGCCCCCCCAGCTCCAGCCCCCCTGCCCCGGGCAGGGCCCCCTTCCCCCAGCCCAGGGGGCTCCCAGCCCCGTCCAACCTGGCCTTGAACCCTTCCAGGGAGGGGGCACCCACAGCTGCTCTGGGCACCCTGGGCCAGCACCTCACCCCCCGCACAGGGAACAATTTCTGCCTTATATCCAACATAAATCTGCCCTCTGCCAGTTTAAAATCATTAACCCTTGTCCTACCCCCACTCCCTGATCCAGAGTCCCCCCCCCCCCCTCCCCTGTCCCCCCTTTAAGCCCTGGGAGGCCACTCTCAGGGTCCCCCCAAAGCCTTCTCTTCTCCAGGCTGAATCCCCCCAACTCTCTCAGCCCGGCCCCCCAGGGGAGCTGCTCCAGCCCCCCCAGCATCTCCGTGGCCTCCTCTGGCCCCGCTCGAGCAGCTCCGGGTCCTTCTGCTGTTGGGGGCCCCCGAGCTGGCCCCAGCACTGCAGGGGGGTCTCCCCAGAGCGGAGCAGAGGGGGACAATCCCCTCCCTGGCCCTGCTGCCCCCCCTGCTCTGGCTGCAGCCCAGGGCACGGGGGGGTTCTGGGCTGTGTGAGCACGGGGCTGCCTCACAGTCAATACCTACTACAGGATGCTATGAGGTGTATCTTGGAAGGACCTATTCCCCTCCACTCTCTTGGGTCATCTGCCCAGTTTCAGACATCCACATTGCAGATGTCCAAAGTTAGGTGAAATTAATTCTACCCTCAATGCTCTAAGTCCTTCTGGCGTCTTTTCAAATCCAGGACTAATTTAATTTAAGGGCAGGAATTTCAGAAGTTTGTTACATAAGATAGGAGCATCAAGCCCTATTTTCAAGCATCTCTGTGTAAAGTGAGAGGAGAAGGAGAGAAAGGGATGAAAGCAATGTGTTGGTCTCACAAGAGGAAGGGGTGGGGGTAGCCAGATTAAGAAAGGGCCAGGAAGAAACATAACAGATGGTTTACACATGGGTAGAAGATGAGAGAAATCTGGGGGATAGAGAGCTGAACGAGGGCTCAACAGGGTTATGGTGGCAAGCTACCATTCACATGTTATGGTTTTAAAATAGCTGCTGTAGAGGTTATCAGAATGACATACCAATACAGATTTCCTGTAGCTGTCTAAAAATGGATGGGTTGGGGATCTGTTTTTAACAGAGATTTTTGTCACCGGCATAATTTTATACGTGCTGACCGGTGAGGGAACCTTGCAGCAACCTGCTAGCACCCTGTCTCGCTTCACCTTAAGGAGTACCAGTAAGAAAAGAAACCCCCGACTGTATTCAATTACAGAAAAAAAAAAAAAAAAAAAAAAAAAAGCATCACACACGCCCTCCTACCACAACCCCAGCTGACCTCAACGACTGAAAGGCGACGACCTTCAGCGACCTTTGGATCGTGCCCCACTTGCCAGGCGACGAACCTACTTTATGGGCTTCATTTAGCTAATGAAACACAACTCCCTCGTCAAGCAAGGCTGGTGCAGGGAGCAGGTACCCCTTTGGGGGGGGGGGGGGGGGGTTCATCACGTAGGCGATGGTCCCGCGTAGCTGGGGGACCGGCCACAGCGAAGGCGTTTTCCTACCTCCCAGCCCCGGGCGCAGTCGGTTGTCGTAGCCGTCCAGCAGACCGTCCAAGATCCTGGTGAATATAGTGATGTTATCATTGGCGTCCTCTTTTCCCGAGGCTGTTGGCGTTTGTGAGAAGCTATTTTATGCAAATGAAAAGAAACACGTCAAAAGCCGCGCGGGCCTCAAGGGGCTTCAGCTTCGGGGGAACTTTGTAGCCCATCCCCCCCCCCCCGCCCCCCTTTCCCCGAGCCTCTGCCCGCTCCTGCCCCTCCAGCTGAGCGGCACGGGGAGCTGCAGCGATTTCACCGCTGCTATAAGCAATCCTAAACAGCTCTGCCCCGAGGAGGAGGACCCAAGGCAGGACCCGTGCCGCAGAGGTACAGCCCCAGGGCGCTGGGTCGGGGAACGCCTGAGCCCACTGATCCTCTTGTCTGGATGCGCAGGGGCGTCCCCCCGTCCCCACCCCAGCCCCGCCACCTCCCCCGGGGCCAGCAAAAACTCTTACTGGGTTTCCCCCCGGGGCCGGCTCCCCAGTCGAGCACGGGTCTGCCTGGGGACACTCCTTCAAGTCTGCCTGAAGGTAACGCCCGAATCCTCACGCGCCAAACAGCGTCTACTTTCCACTTGCGACGGCATTTATTGCCGGAACAAAGGATGAACTCTAACCTTGCTTGAGGATAACGACCTCCCATTCCGTCCAACAATCCCACCCCGGGTCACTGGGGTACCTGAAAAACCACGCTGCAGTACCCAAAACACAGCTCTTCATTCCTCCTCTCTCTTTTGCACAAATTAATCCTCCCTTATAGTATGCAAATAACAGTAATGTGCAGTGGGCCTCCTTCCATATCTGTTTTTGGGCCGGATTTGCTTTGATTCTGAACTCTTTTTCACTTCACCATTTTATCCATGGCTCAGACCTAGGAAGCTGCTCACAGCAAAACTGTGCGTTGCCTTTTGAAGTCCATTTGATTTTCGTTTAAAGATGCTTAGGAGAATCCCCCTGCCTACTAACGCCTTCCCTCACCTAAAGAGCAGACGCGTCAGTTGATCCACAAGCATGCTCTTCACCTGCAGCGAGCAACGAGCATCTCCTAAGGCAGCAGGCTGGCTCACGCTCAGCGCTTATTCAAGTTTCAGCCTCTGCCGAAAGCTCCAGCTGCGACAGGGCACATCGCCCCACCAGGGACCGTGTCCTGCCTCACACGCCCTGCCAGCAGACAGGAATCGCGTACACTCCAACAACCTGAACTCAGCACGAGCCAGTCACCCCGAGGTAAAAAAAAAAAAAAAAAAAAAAAAAAAAAAAAAAAAAAAAAAAAAAAAAAAAATCTGAAATCCATGTTGCTTTACTACCAGCCCCCAGGGAAATAACTCAGTAAATAAATCCAGAACCTCAAAGCATCCCTCTGAACGGCTTGCCTTGCAGAACGCTCGTAGCACGTCCGTTGGGTTCGCCTAACACAACGGGATTTATACAGAGACAGACAAGGGACCTCAGCCTGGTTTTACCTGCCCCGGGGTGCGCGCTAATGGGACCTCGCTGACACCCGCGTAACGAGTCTGGAAGCTTTAGTGACGCCGGGCCCCGGCTCAGGACGAGCTCCTGGCGGCCCCGTAGCCCCTCGGAGACGTGGGGCCCCCCAGTCCCTCCGCCTGGTCCCTTTACAGCTTGTCTGCTTCTGCTGGGAGAGGGAAGGACTGCAAAGCCTCCCAGGAGAGGGGGAGCGGGGGCGCCGGTTCCCAGGAACACCGGAGCGCACGGAAACACCGTCGGCAGGTGCTGCCCACACCCTCCCTCGGCAAGCTCATCGCCCGAGGCCACCGTGGAGCCCCCCCTTCGCTGCAGGCCCCGGGGGGGGGGGGACACAGCCACAAATCTCACCCATTTTTCAGGCCGCCCCACCTCTCCGGGCTCGAAGTACCACGTTCATTCCGGTTTCGACGCTGCGAGCACAACCTCGAGCGAGCAACTGAGGCAGGCAACATTGTTTGGCTATAACAAAAGGCGGTTTAACCCAGCAGATGCAAACCGATTGCTTAAACGTTAGACATCCTGGCACGTCGGACCATTCAACGCGAAAGACTGCATACTTTTTTCTCAACCGTAATCAAAGGGATTCGCCACGTCAAGGTGAACATTGACGAGCAGCAGCCTAACGAATACGAACAGGAGACAGGAGTTACAGAGGTTCTTCATAAGCAGCGACCATAACTAACACTTTGGCAAAATCCCAGCGTGCTGTTTTAAACTTTTCTCATTTATTTTGGCTTCTTTTTTTTTTTTTTTTTTTTTTCATAAGAAAAAGACATGCATCATGCTGGCTGCCTGCTGCACCGTGTCAATGTAGGAACCCATTTGCATTTTCCAACACACCTGACCAAGAAGCGGAGAGATCAAAACTTCACTTCTTTCCTACAAGTTTCATGAGAAGCAGCGATTAGACAAGGGGAGAGCGATCTAAATTAGTGCCTCATTAAGTAAAAATGTGAGGTCAGCAGTCATCTATTCCCTCTGGCTCGCCGACTGGGCCAGTCAGCACGTGCGTAGCTCAGAAGCAGCCTCAGCAAAACCAGACCACCTCCTCTCTGCTAATTAAGAGACACGGAGGAGACTTTGCAGGGTGATTAGGAAAGATCCTGGGAGAAAAGGACCGCGGAGGTAAAATGTAGGTGGGAGATGGGCACGAGGGATGCCAAACGCGGAGCCGGGAGTACTGCAAAGGTACGGCGCTGGGGGCAGAGGATACAAAGCTTCCCTCGTTTCCCTGCTCTCGAAAAAGCTTGTTATTTTTAGTGCTAGTGGCTGAATTCAAAGCCAACCGAACTCAGGGGGGGAAGATTTCCATTGAACTATTTTTGTGGGGATGGGACAAAATATACTTAGTTCTCATAGCCGTTCCTCTGTGTCCAACGAGAGTAACCGACGCGCCTTCCTTCCATCCCAGCTACGTGCTGCTCTCACAAGAACAGTACATGCACCTCAAATACTGAAAAGCTTCTTTATCTCCACAAGAGAAGCTGATTAATAGATGAAAACGATGGAGAAGCAACTAGGGTGAAGACTCGTAAAAAGTCTGCGCTTCATCTGCAAAACTGCAATCCAATTTAGATTTGGCAGATCGCTTCACCCGAAAAAGACGGCAGCTGATGCTGAGTTTCGGCGAAATGTCAGTATTATGTGAAGTTGCATTTGTAGATGGATTACTGCTTGCCATTAACGCAAATGTTACTTCCTTCTTTCACAGAAAAGTTAGCACTTAATTTATGGTTTTGAGATTGCTGGTGAAATACATGTTTTAGAGGAAGTGCTGAGGTTGCCTTTTATGATTTTTTTTTTTTTTTTTAAATCTTATTTAAACTGGACTTGCAAAGTTACATGCATATATTAGATACTGTAGCTCTATGAAGGGAGAGAAAACAGGTGATATCCTAAATTAATTATTTCCACACAGCTAAAGATTAGGTTTTATCAGCATATTAGAAGGTGAGAACATTATTGCCTCTCTGCAACCGACACTGCTTTTATAGCAAGCATTTTCAGTTATGGATAAAAATAAACCTAGAAAAGAAACTTAGGGAAATGCTAAGAAAATTCAAAGATAATTACATTTAAAGCCTATTACTGAACATAAACTAAACCAACCAGGAATACTTCTCATCACATTTATTTAATATTGCGATTTCAGGGTGACTGAAAAAATCAGAAGCCACAGAAGGGGCCCATCAGTGTAAAACGTAATAACTCTCCGAAGATGCTCAGCTACCTCTTCCGATGAGTTCATCATGTCCCACTTTAAACATCACTGTCTTTTCTGCCATCTAGTCAAAGTCATGACAGGTCCTATTCACAGCTTAGTTGTAACAAGAGGAAAATGTATGGTAGATATTTCATGATTTTCCCAAAACTTTTTTTTTTTTTTTTAAAAAAAAAAAAGGTAAGAGAAACTGGAAAAATAACTGAGGAGTATTTTGCCATTGAAAATTTTGTTTTTTTTTTTTTTCTCTCTCTCTCTCAAAAGTAGAGTTTCCAATAACTTGCTTTAATTGGATTGGAATTATACCAGAACCTCAGATAAATTAACAGTTTGTGGAAAAGACGGTGGAGGACGCGCTTGCACGCTTTTGGATACTGCCAGCTGGCCAGACACCAAAGGACATAGCTTTACTTTTCTATCCTAGCTTCTTGCCGTTCTCGAGATCTAAAAACGCCGATATTTTGTGAATTTGTGCAACGGAGATTCAATTCCTTCACACCGCATTAGGACAGAGGAGGAGGAGGAGGACTGGATGAAATGATGAAACCTCAGTGGTCTCTGCAGATCCTTAAAGAGTCACTTAATTCTTTTGTTTAGCAAGAGCAGGATTTTACTGCCTCCTGGGAACGAGCCATTTGTGAGTAGGGCAACGAAAGCCCGCTTTTCACGGGGCGGCGCGTTGTCCTCCTCGCCTCCTTGCACCTTAACGCCCCTTTGGGCACCCTGAATTTCTCCCGGGGTCACTAAACACCTCGCAGTGCTCCCAGCTCCCCCGGCCAGCGACCTGCAGCTCCAGCGGCCCGTTCTGCACGGCTGGGCGGGCGGCCAGCCCAGCGAAACCGAGATGCTGAACCCGCAGCTTTCTGGTCAGCAGAGGGAGCGAGAGGTGTCTGTCTGCCTCCTCCAAGCACTGCTAGGCACCCACTTAGTTAATAAAATCATCTAATGGGTCCAAAAAAAGCTACCCGGAGGCATTGAGAAGGAAAGGAAAACAGAATTTGAAAAAAAAAAAAAAAAAAAAAAAAAATAGACAAGCACGACTGCATAAGGGTATGAGAATTCTTACCAAATCAGCCTTAAAAATATGACGAACCCCCTAGCATCTGCAAGTACTTGGAAAGGGATAACCCAGCAGAACTAACCGCTTAGGGTTGCAGAGACTCGCTTGAAATACCAGACTGAAGGAGAGGTATGTTTAGCCTAAATAGCAGGATTATGGTCTCAGCGATAAGGGCTGTGAGCTAGGGGAAAAGTATGTGAAACTGCAGACGCGCCACGGACCGGATCCTGACAGAGCGCAGAGAAGTCCTGCATTGGTTACGTTCAACTGGGATCTTCCGTTTTCCGTGTTTCTACTATTACAAATATTATTAGCAGATGGCAACTAAACTGCGGGTCCACCACCAACATCCGTCCCCGCTGGTTTTGGCTCTCGGACAGGTTTCTGAAACTGCACGTCCAAAACGCAAACGCGCGGGGACTGTGGGTCCCCAGGGACGTGCCCGTGGGCAGTCTGGGGCTTGCAAAAAAAAAAAAAAAAAAAGGCTCGGGGCTCGGTCAGGTTGGCCAGCGTGGGGCCGGCCACGTCCCACGGAGCTCTCGGTGCCGGCCGTCCCCCGTGGCTGCGAGGAGGTGGGCTCCCCGCGGGCCCACCAGACTCTTGGCTCATCAGGAAACGCTGTTCGTGGTTAGACCGGCCTTCTACTCATTCTCGGGCTCCGTTATAAATATTTCATTTCAAGGCAATTGTGAACTATCTTGCAATGCTCCAGTAAAATACCTTAACTCGCTAGAGCATTATACAACTCAAGGCTGAATTCAAGCACGCTCGAAAAAGCCTTGACTCGTGCTGGGCCGTTGCTGCAGAAGGAGCCTCTTAAAGCTGTTACACCAACGGCGGGGGGGGGGGCTTCACATCCTCTTATTGTTTCATCCGTGTCTTTGAAGTCAGTGGGTTTTTTTTTCTTTGAATAACTTCTACCAACTGTGCCTACAGTCCTTCTCTACCGTCTATCAGTGTGGATAACTCTCGACAGTCATTCCACCTTTATGCTAAACATTAATCGCAGACTTTTGCTGAGATTTCTGAAGTAGCCTAGGAGACTGAGATACATAACTCCTGTTTATTTTACCAGGCATTGTGCATCAAAATCCCCCCAGGTGGCTTTGGCTATGTCAGCAAAAACTGTATTTATGGTTTAATATAAATATGGAATGACTATGGAGAGTCGTAGACAAATCTCTGCCTTCCTCTGTAACGTCCTACTGTGTTTTGCTTTTGAATTTGCGCTCGTTTGACCAATCACTTTTATCTAGCACGGTGCAAAACGCACTGCGATGTAACGGCGTAGTCCAAACGTGGATGAAGCTGATAAAGAAGAACCTGGTAGCAACAGCAAGTATTATCAGTGTTAGATTCTTGCTGATAATATATACCAGCTTACATGTAAATTGCACCGTTCCCTCTTGAAGAGTCAGTCCCAGAGCACTTAGCTAACTGCACTCTGAAACCGCTTCTGCTTCCGAAACAGAAGTGCTGGAGCATCCTCTGCCTCCTGAGCAGGGTCAAAATTCAGCCCTAAGGCAGCGTGTGAACGGTGCAGCAAACTGGAGCTGCTGATCTCTGCAGGCCGGACTAAAATTGCCAGATCAGAAATGGGGGGGAGGGTGGAGGCAGGTTACGTGATGATCTCGTTTTAGTGCACAAAAGCTTTTCGAGTAACTCACAGAAAACAAGCGTCCTAGTTTCCCTTAACTGTCCTGTTCTGATTATCTGCCAGGTTACAGGTCACACCGATTCCTACCTGGGACTTAGATTCAGTATTTGCTTTGGAGTCAAAAGAGAGAGTTAATCCCTACTTTTTTTTTTTTTTTTTTTTTTTTCCCCCAGCCTCACCTATCTATTCTTCTGTTAGAGGAGTAGCACAGTTAAAAGACCCCACACCAAACAGATCATGCTCAACTATTGCAATGTGCTGCCTTCTGCAGGGATGACGGACAGTCAGGAAGGACTTAAGGGTGTAGTCCTCAAGATTTTCTCAACGTGGCAATACTTTGTCAAATTACAACCGTGTCGAGGCAAGTTTAAAACCAGCCCCACGCTATCTAAGACCTCTTCATCTCTATCCCAAAGTCCAGGGAGTTTTGCCTTAAGCCACACTGAAAGCAGGATCAGGCTTTTCCAAGGTGAATAAATTAGCGTGCAGCCCTTTGCACTCTTTGTAGGGTGCAGTCCTACAGCCACTCGTGTCAGTCACTGGGGTCACAGTCTTCCTTCTGCCTGCCCACGCAGGGCACACACTGGAGCCAGGGCTAAGTTTTGCTTATGGCATAGACAGTCATCACGCAAAGTTTGGTCTTTCTCCCAGTTCCAATCTGGAAAAAAAAACACTTTGCTTGAAATCAGAAACTGATTTGCATCTCCATTTTGTATCTTCTTATAGCAAGGAATTGATGGGTGTGCTTGTGAATCAGCACGTTGGGAGGATTCAATCCTTTTTTTTTTTTTTTTTTCTGGTGAAATCATAAATAATTGTTCTCCTCCACAAAAAAGAATCTACCTACGTTTCCAGAGCACTTGCGAAATGCCTTTTCTAGATTCCACTGAACAGCCCAATTTTGGAAAGTTCTTAAGATCTCCGGCCTTAGGAAAAAAAGCATATAAATAGGGGTGGGTTGTTTGGTTTTGGGTTTCTTTTTATTGTTTTTTTTTTTTTTTTTTTTTTTTGCTGTGTTTTTTTTTTTTTTTTTTTTCCCCTAAGAGCTATAGTAGGACTATTTCTTCAATATAGTTTTTAGAACATCACCATCAGGAAAGCCTCCAAAGCAAAACTACGGAAACAACAAGACTCCTTGTGATATGCTTCTGGGAAACACAATTTCTCATTATTCTAGCAAGTTTCAAACTCAGCCATCCCGAGCAGTCACGCTCTTAGCTTGCTCACCAGGAAACCCCTTCCCAGCCAGCAGCACGCCCCCAGCCCCTGTAGCCCGCGCCCGCCCGGGGGGAGCGGGGAGCTGCGACCCCCCCACATCGCAGCCCCCAGCTCTGCTTCGCCCGGGTCGGAGCCCTCAGCATCCCTAGGCCCGGCCAGAGCTCCCCGGGCCCCCCAGGCCTCCCCGCAGCAGCATTCCAGGCATCAGGAACCGACAGGAGACAGCAAATTTGAGCAGGAAAACAAATCGAGCCCCTTTTTCCTTTCCCCCCCCCCCCCCCCCCAAGACACCAGCACGTTAAGATGAAAGGCAAAGCCCGCTTGTTTTGTTCGGCTGCTCCGCACCACACAGAGCCAAGGGGTTTTATTTTCTTAAAAAAAAAAAAAAAAACCTAACAAAAACAACAAAAAAAAAAATAAAAACCCACAGCAAAAATTCAAACGCAATTGGCAACTCACCCGAAGTGGCTGGCCAAACTCATGGAAACGCAGAAGAGGAAGAAGTTTTTGATCATGATAAAGTCAGAGACCATCCCATTGTCCATTCCAGAGGAGAGGAGGAACGCAGGTGGTTGCTTTGGTAAAGGTGCAGCTGCTCACTTTGTTCTTACGCTGCAACAATCCCCCCCAAAAAAAAAAAAAAAAAAAGGTATATGATCACACGGTCAAACAGCAGGATAGCTGAGTTCAGCTAACACCGCATCTTCTGCTATCTCTGTTTTTTGCAAACTTATCTAGGCTTATGTAAACATCAGCTGTTTATGTAAAATTGTATATCTTCAAGGACATGTTTTACCTTCTGCTGACAGCAAACTGCAAACCAGGAAAAATTCTTAGTGGCCCAGTTTTCCCTTATATTCGTCCGTGATGTAAGTAACTAAAGAAACAGTCACCATTTCCCCAATGCCAGTTTTGACCCTTTACCTATTTCACCAACTTCCACACGCCTGCAAACCAAGGGCTGCCTGCAGCCGCCGCATCCCTTCCTTCCATCGCAATTTCTTCCCGTTCGATACCCGGCTCCCCTTTCCAAAATCCCAATCGAAATGCCAAGAAACACCTACTGCTTCTTGGAATTCACGCCGCTGATGCACGGCTTAGCAAAAAAAGAGGGTGGGATGGGGGGGGGGGGGGGGGGAAATAGGTAAGAAGTGACCTTCCTCGCAAAGGCACATAAACCTCATGCGAGCCCGAAGAATGACAGTAGTGTAGCTGCTCCAGTGACTGCTGCTTTTCGGGTACCTGCCTCAGTGGCCAGATCGCCAATCTCAGCATTGTGCACTAACGTTTTCCTCTGCCCTAATAATAATAAATAATTAAAAAAAAAAAACAACAACAACAAAAAAAAACCAAAACACAAACAAAAACAAAAAACAAACAAACAAAAAAAAAAAACAAAAAAAAAAACACAGACTAGAAAAACAACCAACCAACCAAAAAAGAAAAAAAAAAAAAAAAACAAAAAAACCCAAAACCACCAAACAAACCACCCCGGGGGCAGCTGCGTGGATTTTCCACCTGAACCCTGTTGCCCCCCCGCTACCGTAGCTCAGCAACTTACTCCCCCCCCCGCCCCGGCGCACCAAGGCGAAAAGCCGGAGCCAAAATCCGCACCCACCCCCCACCCCCCCCCCCCCCCCCCCGGCCCGCTCTGACCCCGCGGCGGGTCCCTCGCCCCCCGCTCCGCACCGGGCACCGCCGCTCCCTTCCGCACCCGCGCAGCCCCGGCCCCGCCGGCACCTGCCCAGCGACCGCCGTCCGCGCTCCGGGGCGCCGCGCCCCGCTCCGCGGAGGAGGGCGGTACCTGCGCGCCCGCTCCCCCCCCACCCCTTCCCTTTCTCCCCATCCCCGCGGCGCCTCCGGGCTTGTGTGTCGTCCCCCCCCCCCCCCCCCCATCTCGCCTGCCAAAGTTTCCCGCGGCCATGTGCGCGGCACCGGGCGGAGCGGCGCGGGGGGGGGGGGGGGGTGCAGCGGACAGGGCTCCCCTCCGCCCTCCGCCGGCCCGGGAGCCCGGCGCTTACCGGTCACCGGCGGGGCTGGGGGGGGGGTGGTTTGGGGGGGGGGGGAGGGACACGGACGGACAGACGGACGAGGGCGGAGGTGTTGGCCCGAAAGTTGCGGGGCGGGAGCGGGCGCGCTGCCCCCCCCCCCCCCCCCCCCCAGCTGCCAGGCGCGGCCCCGCCGCAGCGCCGCGCCCCCGCACCGCCCCCGCGGCCGGGAGCGCGGGGCGCGCCCACTCCGCGGGGAGCACCCCCCCACCACCACCATAACCCACCCGGGGAGGGGACGATGAGCTCCCGGGAGCAGCCCCCCCCCCCGCCGCCCCGCCCCGGCGCAGGGTCCTGAGCCGGCACCGACCCTCCCGTGGGGGGAGCCCACGCCGCGGGTGGGCCGTGCGGGTGTCGCGAACGCGTGCGGCGGGGCCGCCCGCAGCCGCGGGTGAGGCTCGCCGGCATATAGCGGCATATGAGGCTGCTTCCACGCGCAGCTAGAAACACGCACAGATACACGCACCCACCCGCGCACAGCCCCGTGTCTGCGCTCCTCTTGCGTGGCCCACCGGCCGGAGCTAAACCCGTGCAACTCTCAGGGGGCTCTGCGCCCGCAGCGCCAGCCCATCCTCGGCCTTCGACATCCACGGCTCGTACCGGTATTAAAGATTTCAGGAGACCTGCAATAACTTCGGGGTTTCCTCGTGACCGCGTGTAGCGTGGTTCCAGAAAATAAAATGAAAAAAAAAAAAAAAAAAAAAAAAATAAAATGGATGCGCTGCTTCCCCGCCTCTCTACAGGGCGCGTTAACCACTCGCCGCGTGTTTCAGTCACGCACGCGGTGCGCTGCTCGCGGGCGTGGAAAGGCTGGTGCGTTTTCAGCTGCCCCAAAGATGAGGAGGGTGCTGTACCGTCCCCGTCCCCCGTGGATGGAACCCGCGAGCTGCCCGCAACGCTCCGTAGCACGCACCCGTTACGCGTGATGAATGTGATTGCAATATGCAGCGCTGTGACCATGCTTCGGAATAATACTCCAAGCTCAGTTATTAAATTATCAGATCTCGCCGGGTACCGGCTGTCTTTCAGGCAGCATTCCGGATCAATGAAGCATTTGTCTTTTCCCTGTATCCATAAAAAAATCTCGGTGGAATTAATCCCTCCACTGAAATCGGTGCTGACTGTAGCTCATTGCCGTGGAGGCTGCTGCTCTACGTGTGCCTCGCCCACGGGCTCCACGGGTTGAATTGAAAACTGGTCCTTAGGAATCCACATTTTCATTTTTTACTTTTTTTTTTTTCTTTCTTTTTTTTTTTGGGGGGGGTGGTGGGTGGGGAGGGGGGGAGAGGGGGGGGGCTCTATGCGGTGCTTTGTTGCGTTCAGGTTTTCCAGCCCTGATTTCTGATCTTAAATGCAGAGCCAATGACATACGTTGTTCCTTAGTGACTTCAATAAATATGAAGTTGTGAATGAATGTTGCTATCAGCAGAGCTTTCCTGGTGCTTAAAAATATCTGAGTAAAGTAGTATGAAGCGCCAGTAGTTTCTCACGATAATGTTCTTGCCTGGGAGTGTTTAAATCAGATTTTTTACAGTGCTTTGATTTCTAGTATGAACTATTTATATCTCCGCACAGGTGATGCTGTAAAAATACGTGGTCTTGAAATAATTTCACAAAAGCAAGCCGTGGAAAGACTGGTCTCGGCTCCCCGCGCCGTGCTGCCCGCGCCAGCTGCGCGGCCGGCGGAACAGCGCCGCGCTTCCTCCGCGCCGCGCAGCCGGAGGGAGACGGCGCTGAAAGCCTCGGGGGGGGGGGGGGGGGGGGGAGCGGAACGGCAAGGAAATGTTACAGGAAAAAAAAAAAAAAAAAAAAAAAGGCAAAAACCAAAAAACCCCAAAACCTCCGCGGAGCGGCGGGAGCTGCGCAACACCAGTGTCCCGTGCCGGGAAAGCGCCGCTCCGCGCCCACGCCGCGCTGGGCACCCCCCCCCCCCCCCGCCCAGTGCCGGTGTCCCGTCCCCCCACGCGTGAGCGGCCACGGCGAAGCGGCCCCGCGGTTTGCGCCGCCGCCGCCGCCAGGGGGCAGCCCCGCTCCACGCGAGCCCACGTGAGGCCGCGCGGGCACCCGCGGAACCCGCCTCCGATGGATCCTACCGCTTGTCATTTTTTAACCTCCTTTTTCATTTTTTTTTTTTTTTTTTTTTTTTTTCTTTTTTCCTATAGTCTTTTTCCGTTCCGTGCAACACAGATCTGGTTCTGCTTGCCAGCTAATTACAGCTAACGACGCGATACACCCGAAACACGCTGTTTTAGAGTGCAAAGTGTTAACTCCTGGGCAAAGGTGCTTTCTTGAGAGCTTGTCAGACATTAATTGCGTAGGTTTTCAGGCTGGATCCCCCGAAGGGTGGTGACTTTGACCTGTGATAGCAGGGTTATTACAAGCAATAGAGAAATCTTTGCTTTGAAGGCAACAGCGTCATCCCTGTCGGCGGCTGTGTGCTTCTTCAGGCGCTCCCTTGGGCTTCACACCCTACTTGGATTCTTAGCCTCCTTGTTCGGTTTCAAAGGATGTGTTGAGTTGAGTCTGTGAAACAACTGCTTTTTATTGAGGTCAGGGAACTGCTTTGGTTGGGTGGGTGGTCAGTTTTCTCTGCTGGTGCTTGGCAAAAGCCGCCACAGCCTACCAGAAGCCGTTTCAAATTCGTGAGACGTTTTGCCCGGTCCCTCCCTGACATTTCTCCTCCCTGCATCATGAAGTATTGCTGCTTATTTGCGGAGATGAATGCGTTAGAGCTTGATCCTCCTCTGCTGGGGACTGAAGCAACAGTACAGGCAAATTGGGCTGTGATTCTTACCACGGCACACAGCGAGTAGTTACACACGTGGGAGCTCCCTGGGAAATGCACACCACGCTCTAGCAGCGTGACAGTCCGTGTTGGGACGTGGCCCGTTTCTCCAGCAGCCAAAGGCATCTCTGTCGCCACCCAAGCCATTCCTTCTCCTCCCAGGAGAGCTACAGAAAGCTCATGAAGTCGCACGGAGGTGTGACGTGCTGTGGATACCGACCCAAGCAGTGGACTCGTCAGAGACATTCTCTTCTGCCAAAACATTTAACTTCTGACATCCAGGTGGAGAGGATTGCCTGTTTGGTTGAAAACCTCTGCCTTTGGCCTCCAAGCTAAGACTCTGCAAAAGGCAGCGCCTGGGACAGTGATTTTGGTGAAACAAATCCTTTCCCAATAATTCAACAGTCATTGCATGAATCCATAAACGTCATCTAACACCAACTCGGCCACTCTCAACACAGAGGCTGGGTCTAAAGAAAGGGTGAAAGTCTCATTTCCACTCCCATCTTCCTTAGTATCTGTAGAGACCACAGGCAAGAGGCTTCTAGCCAGCCCTGGTGAGACACACATGGAGTGCTGGGTCCAGCTTTGGGCTCCCCAGTACGAGAGAGGCATGGACGTAGTGGAGAAGGTCCAGCAAAGGGCCAAGAGGATTGTTAAGGCACTGGAGCATCTCTCCTGTGAGGCGAGGCTGGGAGAGCTGGGACTGTTCAGCCCGGAGAAGGGAAGGCTCAGGGGGGTCTTATCCACGTGTACATAGATGTGACGGCAGCGGCGGGGGGGAACGGGGACGGGGGAGGCAGGCTTTGCTCAGTGCTACCCACTGAGAGGACAAGGGACAGTGGGCACAAATGCAAAAAAAATAACCAAAAAAACAAACAAACAAACAAACAAAAAAAAAAAAAAAACAAAAAACAAAAAACAAAACAAAACCAAAACAACAACAACAACAAAAAAAAAAAAAAAACAAAAAAAACTCCACAACATTCCATCTGAACACAAGAAAAGATGTTTTTGCTTTGAGGGTGGTCAACCATCGGAACAGGTTGCCCAGAGAAGTTGTGAAGCTCTGTCTGCGGAGATGCTCCAAACCTGACGGGGAGCGATCCTGGGAAACCCGCTGCAGCTGACCCTGCTCGGGCAGGAGGTGGAAATGGCTGATCCCCAGGGGTGCCCTCAGCCTGGGACCCTGTAAGCCATGAAAACAGTGTCACCCTCTGAAACTCCCTGTTAGTTTCCCCAAATGATTTCACCACGGCTGCATCTGCTAGTGAAACGATACAAACAATCTTGCTGATGTATTAGAGTCTGATAGATTTTGAAGCATTTGGTGTATTTCTGAATGATAAGGAGGGATATTAAAAGCCTTTTTTTTTTTTTTTTTTTTTTTTTTTTTCCCCTGGGTGTCCACTCTGCGGCGCCGTGGACACCCATAAAACGCAGCCAGGAGCTCTGCGTTCCGCTTGTCCCATGGGCCACACTGCAAACGGAGCTGCCTTTAGGGCCTGGCCTTTGGGTGGTGTGTTTTGTGCATCCCCCGTGGCAGCAGAGAGCTGCTCAGCAGAGCTTTGTGAAAGGCAGCTGGGGGCAGAGCCACGCCGGGAAGGCTTGCTCGGAGGTGGAGTTGGGCCCTTGCTGTGTGACACAGGACAGATCAGCGGTGCCACTGGGAGAGAGAGGTGGGTGACCTCCCCCCCCCCCCCCAAATCCCAGTAAAAAATTCCAGCTGGTCGTGAAAAGCGACCAGTGACACTGGTGCTTCCGTGCGCCGTTTGTTGCCATTCCCAGAGTTGCAGGTGCAAAGGTCTCCAAACCTCATCCGAAGCTAAGCCTGAGCAGGCTGCTTTCTGCATGCACCGAGGTCAGAAACAAAGAAAAGGCTTCGCTTTCCGTTCGGCGGTTCCTCCTGGCAGCCACGGGCAGCCTACGCGTCAGTGCCTTGCCAGGGGTTAGGCTAAGAGCTGAGCGACCGCTGAGGGTACGCCTGAACGCTGCCGTCATGGATTTGGAGAGGAGCCTAAGCTTCAGCAGTCCTGAAAACCACGCTGGGCACCTCACCGAGGTGCTTGCTCCGAGAGGAGAGCCTTGGGTGCTGGCAGCCTTATTTCGTATTAGACACTTTTCCCCCTCAAACCAGGGAAATGATACCTAGAGATACCTCCCCCCCCCTCCCTGGAGGAGCTGAGAACATTCCCAGCGTTTTTCAGTCTGTCGTAAGGTTCAACCCTTGGATCGGAGCATTAAAACAAACATTGTCTGTTACTTACAATGATGTCCCTGTCATTCTGTGTAAAGACACATAAAGGGGCTCCATCTTCTTCCCCAAATCCCCCTTGGTGTCTGGCTCCTTACAGACCCTATCCTCCCTAGAGCTTAACCCAGCCGGGCCAGATTTACACAGTTGAAATTCTACCTACGTGCCTGAGCTGAGCGTAACTGTCGAGAGCCTGGAGCTGGTCGGTGAGGAGCACGGGCCCAGGGCCAGTGGTGGGGTTCAGGGGGGGTTCACTGCCCTTTGCAGGGAAATGCTGTGCACGGGCTGGTTTTGGTAGTTCGCTCGTATCAGTCCAGCTTGCCAGTGAGATAGCCCTTTTCTCCTCTGTCCTGGAAAATAAGAGAATTTCCTTTATACCAGTGGGCGTTAGCGCAAAGTCAGAGCCTGGGGTCAAACCTGCTCACAGATGGTTTTGCTCCTATGAAAGCATCGGGGGTTTATTCACATTCCTGCCAGTTTCAGATGTGAAATCTCCTTGTCCCTGTAGAGTCTACCAAAGTCTGCCCTTGAGACACAAACCACGAAAGCCAAACTAGTCCACGGTCTGAGATTTGGGGGGACGGAAGGGGCTACCTCGCAGCAGTCCCTCCTGCACCACACCGCCCAGCAATTTCCATGGCACCATAAACTCTGACTTTCTGGTTTGCTTTTCTCTTGCTTGGTGAGAATACAAGCTGTTTTTTTTTTTTTTTTTTTTCTGGTTATCCACGAACTTTGCAGCAAGCAATCTCCTCCCTGAGCGGTGTATCCCATAAGCAGGTGCCTGCTGTTATCTCACCTTGAATCTGCCCCTGATTTCTTCTTCTCTTGCCGGCACAGTGCTTTTAGCAGAGATAAGGTTGTGGACCAGTGAGGCTGGCATTGCAGGTAGAAGGAGTTTTGAAATAAGGGTGTCACCCAATCGAAGTTTATAACCTGAAGATCTCTTAGATTTGATGTCCTGGGCCGAATTAACAAACTGATTTAACGTACCTATATGGGCGCAGTGGGTACAGAGGTGAAGTTCCTATTTTGCCCGCCTTTGAGCTGGAGCTCAAAAAACCAGGTTTCCTGCTTTGCAGCCATAGATGTTGCGCTAATAGTATGGGAATGACAGTGCAAAAAGAT